CCAGGGTCCCGCCTCTGGGTCACACAGAGCCCCGGTCCTTACAAGGACAGCGGGACTAGGTACCGCAGGGCCCTATCTCTTCCTCCGCCGTCTTCAATCTTCGCTGGTCACCAACTCCCCGAGCGCCCGTGCGCACCGCCTTATATAGCCCTCTTGCGGACCGCGATGTGAGCGCCCACTAGTCGACCAATCACGGCGCGCTGTTCCTACGATCCGTTTTCCCAGCGCGTGTTACCACTACACAACCAATCGCCCCGCGCTGCCACACGATCACTCCCTGTCAGCGCGCGTCACCAACACACAGCCAATCACCACCACATAACCCATGACCCCGCGCTGCCCTGTGATCCCTCACCGTCAGCGCGCGTCACCGGCACACAGCCAATCACCACACGCTGCCCCACGATCCCCACTGTCAGCGCGTATCACCACTACACAGGTAACAAGCTGAGATTAGGAGCACTCCCTTTAAGAGTGTGCTCCTAATCTCAGCTCGCTACCTGTATAAAAGACACCTGGGAGCCAGAAATCTTTCTGATTGAGAGGAGCCAAATACTTTTTTCCGTCATTAAAATGCAAATCAATTTATAACATTTTTGACATGCGTTTTTCTGGATTTTGTTGTTATTCTGTCTCTCACTCTTCAAATAAACCTACCATTAAAATTATAGACTGATCATTTCTTTGTCAGTGGGCAAACGTACAAAATCAGCAGGGGATCAAATACTTTTTTCCCTCAGTGTATGTAACACTGTACAATGTTCGATGATTCGCAAGTCTGATGGTTAAAACATGAATATCTTATGGGAGCTCGTTAGTAAGTGTGGATGTTCAACATCAGCAACAAAAGGATTGTTTTTCATATCAATAACATCAACTATGATATAATATCTCACATCACTGACTCCACTACCCAAACCGCGGACGCCCGCGTGAGGGCGGGGCCTACAGATGAGATGGGCGGGGCCTAATTATGAGTCGACGGGGTAGGCAGAATGGGCGGGGCATACGATACAGGGGCGAGGCCTAATATGATTGGAGCTAGGCCTAAATTGTAAAATGCGGTGCAGTATTGATTCTAGGCTGAGTGGACCTAGGGGAGGCCCAAGACCGGTTCAAACATTCGCTCTCACTCATGCTTATAGGTCGTGAGTGGGATTCGAACTCGGTTGGGTTTGGAGCGCAGTGCTGCAGGCAGCGTGACAGTAACACTGTGCCACCGCTCCCCACAGACAGTGCGCTAATAACTGAGGCACCACTCGCTCACTCACCATAGACACCCAGTGCGCTAACCACTGTGCCACCGCTCCCTTAGTCACTCATCACAGACACACAGTGCGCTAACCACTGCGCCACCGCTCCCTCAGCCACTCATCACAGACACCCAGTACGCTAACCACTGTGCCACCGCTCCCTCAGCCACTGACCACAGACACCCAGTACGCTAACCACTGTGCCACCGCTCCCTCAGTCACTCACCACAGACACAAACAGTGCGCTAACCACAGCTCCACCGCTCCCCACACACCCAGTGCGCTAAACACTGCGCCACCACTCCCTAAACACAAACAAGGTGCGCTAACCACTGCGCTACCGCTCCCCACACAAACAGTGCGCTAACCACTGCGTCATCGCTCCCTACACACAGTGCCCTAACCACTGCGCCACCTCCCTCGCTCACTCAGCCACACAGTGCACTAACCACTGCGCCACCACTCCCCAGTCACTCACCAGACACACACACAGTGCGCTAACCACTGTTCCACCGCTCCCTCAGTCACTCACCACAGACACAAACAGTGTGCTAACCACAGCTCCACTGCTCCCCACACACCCAGTGCGCTAAACACTGCGCCACCACTCCCCAGTCACTCACCAGACACAGACACACACACGCAGTGCGCTAACCAGTGTGCCACCACTCATCCTCACGCACACACACAGTGCGCTAACCACTGTGCCACCGCTCCGTCAGCCACTAACCACAGACAGTGCGCTACCCACTGCCTCATAGCTTCCCACACACACGAAGTGCGCTAACTATTGCGCCTCCGCTCCTACACACAGTGCGTCAACCACTGCTCCACCGCTTCCCACAAACACACACACAGTGCGCCAAACACTGCTCCAACGCTCCCCACACACACACACACGCAGCGCGCTAACCACTGCGCCACCGCTCCTCACATATACACACATTGCGCCAACCACTGCTCCACCGTTCCCCACCCACAAACACAGTCCGCTATCCACTGCCCGACCGCTTCCCACACACACACAGTGCGCTAACCACTGCGCCACCGCTCCTTCAGCCACTCACCACAGACACAAAGTGTGCTAACTACTGCGCCACCGCTCCACACACACAGTGCGCTAACCACTGCACCACCGCTCATCTCCCCCACACACATAGCGCGCTAACCACTGCGCCACCGCTCCCCACACACAGTGCGCCAACCGCTGCACCACCGCTTCATCAGCCACTCACCAAAGACACAGTGTGTTAACCATTGCGCCACCACTCTTTACCTCAGCCATACACAGTATGCTAACCACTGCCCCACCGCTCCCCACACACACACAGACAGTGCGCTATCCACTGCCCCACCGCTCCTTCAGCCACTCACCACAGGCACAATGTATGATAACCACTGCACCACCGCTCCTTCAGCCACTCACCATACACACACAGTGCGCTAACCACTGCAGAACCACTCTCTCCCTCAGCCACACACAGTATGCTAACCACTGCGCCACTGCTCCCCCCCCAAACACACACCTTGCGCTGACCACTGCGCCACGGCTCCCAACACATACACACACACACGGTGTGCTAACCACTGAGCCACCGCTCCTCACACATCCACAGTGCGCCAACCACTGCGCCACCGCTCCCTCAGTCACTCACCACAGACACAAACAGTGCGCTAACCACAGCTCCACCGCTCCCCACACCCCCAGTGCGCTAAACACTGCGCCACCACTCCCTAAACACAAACAAGTAACGCTAACCACTGCGCTACCGCTCCCCACACACACAGTGCGCTAACCACTGTGCCACCGCTCCCTACACACAGTGCCCTAACCACTGCGCCACCACTGCACCACTTCCCTCGCTCACTCAGCCACACAGTGCACTAACCACTGCGCCACCACTCCCCAGTCACCAGACACACACAGTACGCTAACCACTTTGCCACCGCTCCCTCAGTCACTCACCACAGACATAAACAGTGTGCTAACCACAGATCCACTGCTCCCCACACACCAGTGCGCTAAACACTGCGCCACCACTCCCCAGTCACTCACCAGACACACACACACGCAGTGCGCTAACTAGTGTGCCACCACTCATCCTAACGCACACACACAGTGCGCTAACCACTGTGCCACCGCTCCGTCAGCCACTAACCACAGACAGTGCGCTAACCACTGCCTCATAGCTCACCACACACACGCAGTGCGCTAACCATTGCGCCTCCGCTCCATACACACAGTGCGTCAACCACTGCTCCACGCTCCCCACAAACACACACACAGTGTGCCAACCACTGCTCCACCGCTTCCCACACACACACACACGCAGCGCGCTAACCACTGTGCCACCGCTCCTCACATATACACACAGTGCGCCAACCACTGCTCCACCGCTCCCCACCCACAAACACAGTGCGCTATCCACTGCCCGACTGCTTCCCACACACACAAACAGTGCGCTAACCACTGCGCCACCGCTCCTTCAGCCACTCACCACAGACACAAAGTGCGCAAAACCACTGCGCCACCGCTCCACACACACACAGTTCGCCGACCACTGCGCTACCGCTCCCCACACACACAGTGCGCTAACCACTGCACCACCGCTCATCTCCCCCACACACACACAGCGCGCTAACCACTGCGCCACCGTTCCCCACACACATAGTGCGCTAACCACTGCACCACCGCTCATCTCACCTACACACACAGCGCGCTAACCACTGGGCCACCGCTCCTCACACACACAGTGGGCCAACCACTGCCACCACCGCTTCATCAGCCACTCACCAAAGACACATCGTTTGCTAACCATTGCGCCACCACTCCCTTCCTCAACGACATACTCAGTGCGGAAACCACTGACCCCACTGCTCTTTCAGCCGCTCACCACAGACAAACACCGTGCGCTAACTAATGCGCCACCGCTCTCCACACACACAGCACGCTAACCACTGCACCACCGCTCCTCACACACACACAGTGCGATAACCATTGCGCCACCGCTCCTCACACACAGTGCACGATTCACTGCGCTGCCGCTCCATCAGCCACTCACCAAAGACACATAGTGTGTTAACCATTGCGCCACCACTCTCTACCTCAGCCATGCACAGTATGCTAACCACTGCCCCACCGCTCCCCACACACACAGTGCGCTATCCACTGCCCCACCGTTCTTTCAGCCACTCACCACAGGCACAAAGTGTGCTAACCACTGCGCCACCGCTCCTTCAGCCACTCACCACACACACATTACTGCGCTACCGCTCCCTCAGCCACTCACACCAGACACGTACAAAGTGTGCTAACCACTGCGCCACCGCTGTCCACACACATTGCGCTAACCACTGCGCCACCACTCCCTATCTCAGCCACACACAGTACGCTAACCACTGCGCCACCACTCTCTACCTCAGCCATAGACAGTGCGCTATCCATTGCCCCACCGCTCCCCCAGTTACTCACTAGAAACACAAACTGCGCAATAACTGCGCACCCGCCTCCTCATCTGCTCACCACAGACACAAAGTGCCCTAACGACTGCGCCACCACTCTCCACACACACAGTGCGCTAACCACTGCGCCACGGCTCCCCCCCCCCCCCCCCACACACACAGTGCGCTAACCACTGTGCCACCGCTCCCCACACACACACAGTGCCCTAACCACTGCGACACCGCTCCCCCCCGCAAAACACACCTTGCACTAATCACTGCGTCACTGCTTCCCCAGTCACTTACCAGACACACACCTCTTAGTGGCAAGCTCCAGGTTTTGCAGCAGCGCCTCCAACTCCTCCTCTGAGCAGCAATTACTAGATCGCCGGCATACATAACATGGCTAAGCAATAGGGAGCCATCCCTTGACCGCACCAGGGCATCGATTAGCCTCCCATTGTATCTATACCAGATGGAAATTCCTTCGGTCCATCTATTGAAGGCTTCACGAACTACGTGGTCGAAATAGATGTTAAATAATGTGGGAGCCAGAGGACATCCCAGCGCTAACGACTGCGCCACTGCTCCCCACACACACACGGTCCGCGAACCGACTGCATCCGCCGCTAAACTTGAGACCCAGGGCGCTATCTCTGTCCGATCACCCCCCTCGCACCCCTCCCTCGCCACTGAGGAAGTTGCGGTGAGGCAGACCAGGTGCTGTCGTTTTTGCTCTAACGATGGAAGGACGCGCCCGCACCAACTCGGAGACCCGTCAGCGTTTAATCATCACCATCAACAGGGCTCTTTTTCTGCTCGGAGCTCGACCCAAGTACGAACCGAGGCCCTGCGACCTTGGCAGCAATCAGCAGCATTTTCATCAGCAGCAGCATCATGGGCATTACCATTTACTCTGGGAGCTGGTGATACGCAACTCTCTACTCTGATTGTTGTGTGGGTTTTTGGACGACAAATATTCCGGCTGTTGTTGCTGTTGTGTAGGTTTTCTGGTCCCTGCCATGGCAACGTGGAGTTGACACTGATTGGGCTGTGAGGCTGAGCCGAACGTGCCCCCATTTAGACGGACGCACAACCAGGAAACGCCAGTGTTCACGCGACAGGTGTTGGGTCATAACTCCACACGCCTTCCTCATGAACACATTGTTGTTAACGTATGGTTATTGTTATATTATTACACTTCCTATTGTAATCGGTCATCCCCATGTGGCAGTCAGCGCAATGAATAATGAATGTGCTCCAGTCTCTATTTTAAACTGAAACTAAACTTTTTTTTCTCATTGCAACCATGTCGGGCTACGTAGCTTTTTTGTTCAGAAGAGACCTGTCCACACGTAATGATAGCTCGACGAAGTGGCTTATATCATCATGTAGACATTTATAGCAGCAGCCACAATCTAAACGGATGTTTCTACAGACTCCTAGAGACCCATAGAAACATAAGACACATAGGTAAAGTCACGTAGAAGGGAAGTAATAAAATAATAAAAATAAAACATAATAAAATTCTCACGACGTTTCGGCCACAACGCAAGCAGCCGTCCTCAGGTGAAGACCAGGTCTGTAGGGGAGACAGCGTCTGAATGAAACACCACCACGCTTGGAGCGTATATTTAAGCTGGGTTGGAAGGGGGGAAGGGCGCCTTGACAAAAGAATTTACATATCAAGAGGAATTTAGCATATTTATGGGAAATGGAGGTATGTGATTAGTACTACTGGTGAAATGCGTAGGAGGTGGGCGGGGGGTTTTCAAAGTCATTATGCCCGTGCATTATGCAGGATTAGCAGCATCAAAGGGAGGGGATAGGGGTAGCGTTAATAAAGGGAAGGAATGTTAATAGTATGTCGCTGCAGTAACTAAACAACCACGTAAACAACTACATAGTATCATCAGTATACTCAGATTCCAAAGAACACAGGATGAGATGTTACTATCCGTTGTGCAAGCACTTCCAAGAGTTCATGAACAGTGAGCCTGGTGAAATTTGGGGAGCGCATCGTCAGTAGTGACCCTTTGGTTCCTAGGGTGTTTCGGCCTTTCATACTATACACCCTCCCCAAAGGCGGCCAGCGACAGGGTGATCAATCCTACGCTTGCGTCCCATTCCCAATTAGTCATAGGAGTTGCCTTGTTGTTGGTAGCCAACATCCCATGGGACTATGCATGGCAGGGGCATCCTCCTCCCTGAGTCAAGCATTGTTGACTGCATACCCCCTGGCCCTCTCACTTTGGGGCCCAGCTGGGGTCTTTCCTCTTCATCCAGAGCCACTGACTGCTGCCTTCTGCCGCCTCCGATACAGCTTTGATTGCCGAACGCTGGCTCTGGCCCTTAATTCCCAGGTCTCTAAGCAGTCTGGTTGTAGATGTTGCCACAAAACCTCTGCAGCCCACCTCCACTGGTCGGACTTCTGTGTTCCAGCCATGATGCCGTGCTTCGGCAGCTAGATCGGCATAGCGCAGATGTTTTCGCTCATAAGCCTCATCTACTGAGTCCTCCCAGGGTACTGTGAGCTCAATGATGAAGACCTTCTTGAGCGAACGGGACCAGAGCACCACGTCAGGTCTTAGGGTGGTGGTTGCGATCTCCGGAGGAAACACAAGTTGCACCATCAGTATATTTACTATACTCTACAATAAGCTGAGTTACTAACAGTAAGTAATACATTACAATTCTATGTCGCAAAAAAATATAATATACTACCAGCTAAACTTTATTCTCTTTCATCACACGGGTCTACCCCGTACTATATGCTGCCATAGACAAACCCAACATTAAATTATATACTGTATCGCAATTTACACTAACCTCTGCTGCTGTAAATTATATACTGTATCGCATTTACACTAACCTCTGCTGCTGTAACTTCTTCTAATGCTAAATGAATTCTGTCTAGAACAAGCTTAGCTATTATCTCAGAGAAAATCAGACTTACGCGCACCAAACTAGATCAGTTAGACAAGACACTCTACAAATCACACTTATCTTTAACTGCAACAATGTCCATATCGGATTAGGACATGTAGACAATATGACTGCCTCTTCAGCTGCCGCTATGTCGACCAAATGTAAGGACAACTTGATTTCCAAATTCAACCGCCTCTCAAATAAGAGACCGGAACCCACACACTGAAAAGCTAGACGTTAACAAAGGACGTAATTAATCGCAGTAACAGTTCTATTTCTGATAGTCTGAAATCCGTTTTAGCTAAATGACTAAACTTTGCAGTCACACCGAGGCACATACCAGTTAATGATATCATTGCCCAAGTATATGTGGCTCTCAAGGGCCTGGGTCACATCACTGCAGACGTAGCAAGATCTGAAATCGCTGCAACCCTCAAAAACGCGAAGATGCCAGCTAGTAACATCAGCAAAGATGAGCGTTTTGAATTAGCTCAATTTAAAAAGAGGGATGACATTGTCATCCTCTCAGCCGACAAAGGCAATTCCACTGTCATCATGGACAAAATAGATATACAACAACATAATTCAAGAATTATTCAACGATGGCAGCTATACAAAAATAAAAAGAGACCCCACCAACAGCCTCGTCATTAAAACCAACAAAATCATTTCTGATTCAACCGCATTAATTGATCAAACAAACAGTTCTCGTTGAAACCTTCTGCAGCCAGGCCACCAAGATTATATGGCCTTCCAAAGATACATAAAGAAGATACACCTCTTCGTCCCATTGTCTCTACTATCAACTCCCCCACCTATAAAACTGGCTCGTATTTTGTCTGAAATCTTGCGGCCTTTCACTGGAAAAACCACCTCTGCGGTACTAAACTCTACGGACCTGGTATCGGCAATCAAGGGAATTTCCCTGTCCCCAGACGACCTGCTTGTCAGTTTGATGTGGTTTCCTTATTCACCAAGGTTCCTGTACCTGACACCATCGCAATCATTGAAGTCTTGGTTCATCAAGGACTGAATGCTGGGGTACCCCCCCTGGTGAGACACTGCTTAACCAATACATACTTCACCTGGAATGGAACTTTCTACAAGCCAACTGAGGGCACCCCAATGGGCTCCCCCCTATCTCCGGTTGTAGCCAACATCTTCATGGAGAACTTTGAGACTGACGCCATCCAGACTGCCACTCTACGCCCGACCTTATGGAAGAGGTACGTAGATGACACCTTTTGTCATCTGGCCACATGGCCGGCCTGCTCTAGACCAATTTCTCGACCACATCAATTCCATACACCCAGCCATCATGTTGCACACTCGAGATGAAGGAACGTGGGCAGGTGCTCCAATCGAGGGCAAGCACATTTATTTATTGTGGTTCATATGAATCTTGGGAAGAACAGCACCGTCACTCTGTAAATGCAACAGCGCGTGTACACGCAGCAATCCTTCCGAGGACGCCATTAACCATGTGGCTGGTTTACATGTGCGGTTATTCATTAACCCTGCCAGCCACCTACAGGCCCGACTCAGACATTACATGCTGCTGTACACACATGCATTGATGCATTGCACAGCACATCAGGACCTTCACAGAACCACACTTATTCCCTTGCTGCACAAGGACACACTTAAAAGAGTGATCCATTCCTAATGTGCCACAATCAGATTCACCATGGAAGTCGAAAAAGATGGCAAGCTACCCCTTTTTGGATGTCCTAATTAAAGGAGACCTGATGGTTCAATGAGCCACTCTGTCTACAGGAAAGCCACCCATACGGATGCTTACCTAAAACCGGATTCCCACCACCATCCATCCCAGAAGAATTCCCTCATCAAGACTCTATACCATAGAGCCCAATGCATCTCCGACTAGGAACACATTGCCAGTGAACTCAACACATACGCCATACTCTTAAGGCTAATGGTTACTCCGACTACACAATCCGCAAAGCCATCTCTCCAACCATCAAGAAGGATCCTGTTGAGGAGCCTTTCAAACCATCACCTTACCCTACATTAGTGAGGTCACAAAAAGATCTCCAAAATCCTGATTAAACACAAGATCCAGGTCCGATTCAACATAGTACATAAAATCCGTGATCTGGTCCCGTCTGTAAAAGATGTTGTTCCAGACATACAGTACCCTGGCGTCTACAAACTAAGTTGCCTCTGTGGTAGCAGTTACATTGGAGAAACCAAACGACATGTCTCGGTCCGCATCCGTGAACATAAAGCAGACCTGAAACACGATAGGACAAACACCTCAGCCGTGGCAGATCACTGTTACAATTCAGTGGGCTCACATGACATTGACTTCTCCAAGACAGAGGTTATCTGCAAGCCATCGGCTACCATGAGAGATTCGTTCATGAGGCGATCCACATATACAAACACAGAGACAATTTCAACCGAGAAGATGGATTCTGGCTCA